AAACATGCTTAGTTCTCAGAGAGTTTTATAATGCTACGTTGTATACAAAATTAGATATATGGACATATACACATGTCCCACACAGAGAAATTATAACAGATATGCAACAACAAACAGTGTGTAAAAAAAGGGGAACCTTACTTATAATATTTCCCAAAGGGAAAACTGGAGTTATGGTGGTTTCTCTACGAACTTAGTTTGGCCATTTGGTTTTTTCCCATAAGACCTACTGCTGTGGACTAGGGACGTCCTTCATCTCTGGGATCTACATCACAAAGGGCATTTGTGAATCTATCTCCTGATGTCATTCACTGGATGTCATGTGACCCTCATGACTATCTCAATTAAAGGGAGATAATCGCCGTTTGTAATCCACCATTCTCATCAGATCAAGAGTTCCACATGGATGGCATGCTTAGTGCCAAAATCATTCAGAAATGTCTAAACTCTTGGCTGTATACAACCCCTTTCTCAGATCGATGATTAAAAATGGCTTTGAGTAAATGAAGCCTGTATATCTTAACAAGGATTATCCTTCTTTGAACCTCATGCAAAGGCATTACAGGATCCCAAAGAACTAATAATAATAATATTAACAAATAATAGAAACAACATCCACAACTAAAATGCATAGTACATGTGACTTAAAGAGAAAATGACATAATCAAGATGTAGATGTTCCACACAACTTCAAACAAAAGGTTAGTAAAGAAACCCCCATCAATACTGGAACGAGTGATAACAGCGAACTTGAGAAATCTACTTTTGTGAAATTGCCTTAGAAAGATTTTATAAATGTTAACCGACAGTAGCACTGTTTGGTTCATGAATGCCGGATATTTCCTTATAAAAAAACGGCTAATTTTACATCCAGTAATAGTTATATTAATTCCTGACCTCTGATAATTCCTTTCTTCTTTATTTACAATATAATATTAATCAATAATTAATAGCAATAATGAAATTCCAACTGAAAAAATAACCAAAAACGACGAGAATTTAACATTTTTCAGGCTAGCAGAACTTATGGTAAGAAGTGATCGTTAGATAACTAGAGAAATAATATTCTATAAATCAATAAAAGTTCAATTGATTTATTTGATTGATTGACTCAATAGTTTGACCTCAAAATACACATCAGGCAGATAGGGACAGATTGATATATATATATATATATATATATAGCCTCTTGTGAGTTCCTCTCTGCCTAAAGGCAGAGAGTTCGACAGCAGCCAAGATTTGAATAACAGATTCCGGCTCGGCAGTATTTACCTGCCTGCCCACAAAGAAGGATGTGGCCAAAAATTCCCCTGAATAACAGATTCCAGCTGGAGTCTGCCGTCCACTCTCCCCACAGATACTTATAGGTGGTTCCACCTATAGTGCCACTACTCATGGGGGTGGCAGGTTATTCTATCACATCAAAATATTTGGGAAGTGTTTTAACAGAGGATAGAAAATTTCACACTGTCATCCAATTACGCATTGGAAAAGATGGCTTCTAAAATTTAAGCAAAGTACGAAGAAACGAGAGTTTGTTAAAAATAAAGAATGCCTAAATGATGTGTAATGTTAATCATCCTCTATGGACAATTTCCTCACAGGAAATGAGAAAACAAGAGGCAAAAGATATGTTGTTCCACAGAAGGATGCTGAGGATTTCATGGATGGAACGTGTAAGTAACGAGTAAAGACACTTATACACAGAATCAGAAAGAGAGAGCATAAAATTTTGGGACACATAATAAGGATTGAAGACTTGGAAAGTTTAACACTCAAAGGACACATCTAATGCACACAGGACAAGGAGAGGCACTGGGTTGCCTACCTGTGAATGGAAGGTAGAATGGGGAGTGAAACAAATGGTATATAGACAAACATTACTAAGATCTGTATGATATAGGAGATCGTGGAGAGCCATGATCACCCACGTCCTGGAGGAACATAAAACATATATATATATATATATATATGAAGAAATATAGTCTTAAGGTGTGCTATATTTATGGGATAAAGTCCTCAATATCAGAGATAGCGCGTGTGTAAATATAAAAGTGAACATTGAAGTCAACACTTAGAGTCGACAGGCTGTTTCATGCTAGATGCAATCATCAGACCACGAATGCTGTTATTTTTCTCTGCTATTTATATATACGGGTCAGTTGTGCATTGTGGGTAGTCTTTTTTGGTGGTTATTTTACCGGAAGTCGTTTATTTGTTTATTTATAAATAAACAAATAAATGACTTCTGGTAAAATAACCAAATAAAATAACTGCCAAAATAGACTACCCACAATGCACCACTGACCCATATATATATATATAAATAGCCGAGAAAAATAACAGCACTCGTGGTCTGACAATTGCATCTAGCATGAAACAGACTGTCACCTCTAAGTGTTGACTTCAATGTTCACTTTATATATATATATATATATATAGGAACAGATTTAGACATGAATACAGTGATAGCTCAGCTTAAGTCATTTCAAGTTAAGTCATTTTCAAAGATATGTCAGTTTTTCTTAAATATTATATGGAAAAATAAAACACACCTTAGATCATTTTACTCAAGTTTATATTGGTTGTTAAAACTATTAAAAATGGCAAAACACTAAAATAACAAGAAACAAGTATAAATTATTTTTATTGAAATAAAGTTAAAAATAATATTATGAAAAATATATATATATCATAAAATCATCAAAAACAAAAAATTAGCATAATAACATATGTTCTGCAGATGTTCTTATTTCAAATTTCTGCCAACAGGCGGCACTCATGCATTGTTTTCTGTTCCAACATGGATTTTAAATTCAGACATGTTTGTATCTGTGCTCTGCTATTGATGTTCTTTCAGTCACATTTCAATTGTAATTTAGAATATACTAGCAGTAGAGCCCGGCGTTGCCCGGGGATGTAACAGTAAGAGATAGATCAAGTATTGACCATCATAAAGACTAAAAAATAAAATTGACAAACATTATTGTTTTAAGGTTAATGGACACGCATGTCTTAATTTTTTTTTTATGAATTGGTCAAACCCAAACAAAAACATTGTTTTCAATCGTTATGAATCTACCGATTGAATAGAATTTTATTATAAACAATTGTCTTGTAAATGGAATTTTTAAAGCATTCTGAATGTAAAAATAAAGAAAAAAAGTGTGCACGACAATAAGAAACACTACCTGCAAAAAAAAAAAAGTGAAGTTTTGTTGAAATTGGTTGAAAAATGTAGGAAATCTGATCCCATATATAAACAAACATGCACACAAACACACACACACACACACACACACACACACACACACACACAACCTGGGTTTTATAAGTATAACTCGATATGATTTGTCCCCCTTTCATTCTTGTGATTGTGTTTTCAAATTGATTTTGTGCAAAAACAATTGTATTTTTCCAATTTTTGCTGCTGTCAGAACCACCGCAAGGTAATTTTACGTAGTCCTGTGAAGTTTTGTTGAAATCGGTTGAAGAATGTAGGAAATCCAATCCTATATATAAACGTACACACACACACACACACACACACACAATCTGTGTTTTATAATAAGTAAGATCTCTAAATATATGGAAGTAGCATCACACCAGATTTGGCAGTAATATTCAAAGTATTGATGAATGGTAAAATTATAAATATGTAAAAGAGATTCTAGGAAAAAAATTGTCTTGCACGACAAAATAAACCAACTTTCCTAGCAGAAGACCTAGCAATTGTCTGTCCTGGGTATTACGATAAACTACATCTGCGTCCAGTGTAAGACGATAAACTATGTAAGTATGATTTTTGCCCATGGCTCCAAAGAAAAGTCCCAGTGCAAGCGCTAATGCTATAGTGATGGAAGCTAAGGTGGAAATTAATTATTTTATTCAGAATATTTTATGTAGATATAAATACTGTAATAGGCAATGGGAAGTGCTTATTTGAGGTTTATAATGTGGTTATTTTGACTTAAGTCATTTTTCAACCTAAGTCGTGACCCCTGGAACCAATTAACGACATAGGGGGAGGTATATCTGTATTAGTAGACTGAGATATATAGATAGGAACAGATTGAGATAGACATATAGAGAGATAGGAACAGATTGAAAGAGATAAAGGAATTTGTTTACATATTTATTTCTTTATGAATGTTTTATACCCTGAGCAATGAGGTGGACTCACCCACATGTGTATAAATGTGAACATGGGACTAGAGGAGACAGCAGAAGTTGTATTTAGCAGTTGTCTGAGAAAATACAGTAGTAATCTGCAGCTGGACTTACTCTAGGAGCGACTGAACTCATTAATAGACACATTACAACAAAATGATAAATATTGCATTGTAGTTTATTGATATTTTTTTATGAACTTGTTAATATTCAGTTAAGAAAAATTTAAGTGAAATTTCTGATTTGTCAACTCATGAGTTTCATATTGAAATACTCATAAATTGATGAATTTATTCTCGGTTAATTGATATATAAAGTAATCCAATTGGTACCTTCTATCATGTCAGATTGAAACTTTGGTAATAGCTATCAGAATGCAACTGATGTCTGGGCATTTCCATGAGTTAAAGGTAGAGTGGTGCCACCTACCTTTACCTTTATATACTGCTATCTAATGACTTTTGGCACTTCAGAGTATTTATTATTAGGATTTATTAACCAATTAATGTCCACCATTAGATCTCCAGACTCACTTTTTTCACTATCGTCCGAGAACCATTACAAAAAGCAAATTTAATCATGTCACCAAAATTGTCTGAAAATCAAATCAAAATGTTTTCTTTTCAATTTATAATATAATAATAAAAAAAACGCCATTAAATGTTTTAGAATAAATTAAAAAAGTTAAAATATTAGAGTCTTAAAAATTAATAAATGCAAAAACAAATTTGTTAAATTTTTACTTTATTTCTTTTATAAAAATTCCAACTTTATTTAAACATTTTCATTAAATCACCTGGGATAATTTCACGTAGAAATATTCTTATTAAGGCCATATCAGGTTGAAACACTAGTTCCTGGACAATCACTGAAGTTAAGCAATGTTGAACCTGGTCAGTACATAGATGGGTGACCACTTGGGAATACCAGGTTCTGTAAGCTTGGATGTGCAGGTGGTGTAATGGATAATGGCTTGGAATTTGTAATTGGAGAACTAAGTTCCAATACTAGTTGGGGGTTGTTATATTAAATTTCAGCTGTCTTTTCCTGATTCTTTCCGAGTTCTTGCTTACTCCATTCACATGATTCTCAGTATCCTTCTGTACATGCACATGGTCCAGCATCCATTGCCATACAAAAGGATTGATATCACATAGCAATTCAGCACATTTATCTTTGTGTTTACTTACAGTTGATAGTTCTTTTTTTACTCACTATCTTTTGCTATCCTCTCTAGGAAGTCCTATAGTTTGCTTTGTGTGTCAGCCATCAATAGTGTCACTTGCATTTTATCCACTGTGCCATGTGTCCTCAAGGACAGTGGACAAAGCCACTGCTGACAAAGATAAGCTCAACAGTGACAGGACCCAAAGAGTGTGAGTTCAATACCCAGTTAAGGCAGTGGAGAACTTGGAGAGGAGAATTAACAGGAGATAACTGACTACCATTAAACATGGCACATGGAACTAGAACAGTTTACTCCAGTGAGCAAAATAAAGGGTTCAGTTTGACATTCCAACCACCTGAAGGGCCGAAAAGTTGTGATAAATATGGCAACAAAGATGAGGACAAGAATCTGAATAATGTAAATAGTGTACCTAATACCTCATCTCAGAAATATAGACAGATACTGAAAGGCCGAAACATTGTGATAAATATGGCAACAAAGATGAGGACAATAGTCTGAATAATGTAAATAGTGTACATAATACCTCATCTCAGAAATATAGACAGATACTGAAGGGTTGACATATCATAAAATAAATCATCCTAGTCTAAATGATTGAAAAAATCTAAAAAAAATCTTTAAAAATGCTGACTTGACATGCAGCAATGGTGAGGAAGGTGAGTTTATTTAGTTGTTACTACTGAGTAGTAAGTTCGTTTCTCACTAGGTGCCCCACACAAGAATTTCACATTAAATGTCCTAATGAGTTGATATGTCATAAAATCCTAATATTTCTACTGAATGATGAATTCAATCCTCACTTGAGTTCCCAGTACAAAATTCAGTATAGAATTACCCAACAAGGGTCAGTATGTCTTAAAATCAACCAACTCACCATAATTCCTCCATCTGCCAAATGCTCTGCTGTTGTTGATGAGGAAATACATTCTTATCACAGATGAACCTCACAAAACCACTTTAAGATTTTACAGTAAATATGGATATCCCTCCCAAATCTCCAACCTTGAAGTCAGATTTTCTTATTTCAAATTTCTTCTGACAGGTGGCATTCATGCATTGTTTTCTACTCCAACATGGATTTTAAATTCAGACATGTTTGCATCTGTGTTCTGCTATTGATCTTCTTTCAGTTGCATTTCAATTGTAATTTAGAATACATTTTTGCCCATGGCTCCAGAGAAAATTCCCAGTGCAAGTGCTAATTTTAAGCATAAGGCTTCTATGGCTAGAAGATAAGGTGGAAATTAATTATTTTATTCAGAATACTGCATGTACATATAAATACTGTCATAGGCAATGGGAAGTGCTTATTTGACATCTGGAACCAATTAATGAGGAGGACAGTAGACAGTGATTGACATTGCATTTAAATTTTTGAGATTAAAGTTGGCTGAAAAGCATGTGGCTGGAAGGGAGTGCAACAACAGAAACTGCTAGGATAAAATATATGGCTATATGTAGCTGACTCAACTGTAAATTGATGTGATCTTGAAGCCAGTCTAGTACTGTGTTTAAATTCATGAAGTCCAGATATCATAGTAAAGAGCTCATCCGAACAATTATCATGAAACTATTTTAAAAAAAAACGCAAGGAGGCAACCTTATGGTGGTGGGAAATTGACTGAAACAGATGCCATATCAAGATCAAATTTTTTTTTATATAGATGTGTGTGTATATATATATATATATATGCACATTTTATTGAATACAAGGTACTTTGATTTAGTCTTTTGCTATACAATTTTTTATATGATCTAACAATTTTTTTCTTTTCAGATGAATTATTTTATAAATCTGTCCAAATGTTCTTTTTTTTCCAAGTGCTTTTGGCTATACATTTAGCCATTTTCAAGGATGAAATATTTTAACTGTTAAATAAGAAATAGTTTGTTGCATGTCTGTATTTATATAATGTTTCCATTTGTTTTTGTTTTTTTTTTCAAAACACAGTCAAGATGGACACAATATCTTGACCGTGTTTTGAAAAAAGGGTATTTGATTTGGGAAGTCAGAAGATTGCAATTGGTTTTAAGGAGTGAGAACAATAAAAGAATGATTAAGAAGACAGTAGATAATGATTGGCTGGAAAGCACGGAGCCAGAAGAGTGTTTGATAAGCGAGAAGTGCTGTTAGCATAGAATTTACGGCTACATCTAGTCAGATCAAATTGATGAGAACTCAATACCAGTCCAGTACTGTGCTTAAATCAAAAAAATTAGGTACTATAGTGAAGAGCTTATCTGAATAATAACCATGAAAGTATTTATAGAAAAGGCACAGGGTGGCAATCTAGCTATAATATAAACCTCATTTGAAACTGGTCAGAATTTTGAGAATGGTGATCAAATTCACTGATGATTTAGTGTTTGAAAATCATTTATTGACTTTATCTGTATGTGGTGAGGAAGGTATATATCCCAGAATATATGTATCAGGTATCGCCTGAAAGTCACACTGAGCACAGATTCACATGAATTAGTATAAACAAATAAGATGGACTGATTTCTGTTTTCAGCACCACTGTTTTCAATTCTTTGGTTATGGCACCTGGAGACGTCTAGGCTTGTAATTTAAAGCTGAAGGCATGAGGACACTTCTTTGGAATCAGTAATCAATATCCGATGATATCTACTATTGGAAAATATATTCCAGTGCTGGATGTTATTTGGCATTATTCTAGCTATTTATTTGATGGCTTCAAAGAAAGGAACGTTTTTTGTGGAGGATGCAAAAAGTTGTCAGATGTCAGTTAAATGTCAAACATGATACATGCTTGTGTGATCATGTATCTTTCAATACATGATTGACTAAGCAGATTTTTTCCCTCAGTAGATTGCCATTTCTTTCTTCAGTAGACTGGTTGCCAACCAAGGCTAAAGAACTCCGTCTGCCCTGCTATTCAACCCATAGCTGAGGGGAGAATAGATGGATTCATACTTTTTGTGTGTAAGTGAATCTAATGAACTTGATTGGAGTTCAATCTCAGCTCTCTGAGTTGTTACCTCAAGCCGATATCCTTTACACCTCAATGCCCACCCTGATGTACTTTTTCAAAAATCAGGGAAATATTGTTGATATTTTCTGTATACTAATATTTACTCCACATCAGTCTCAAGAGCCACTCATGGTAGAAGATCACTGTGTGGTGTTGTATAAACATAAGAAAAGCAAGAAGTGAAGTTCATGGTTTATGCAGGAAAGATAATAGTTAATTTTAGACTGGAGGAGGTCAAGATTATAGTGATCAGGAAAACATCCACCCATGAGTCTGTTCCACAAAGCAACAGTTCTTGGGAAGAAGTTGTTTGAATGTAACTTACTCCTTACTAATGGAATATAAAGGGAATGGGAATGATTCACATTTGTGCACATGTGTCCTCATAATGAATTTATTGTCTAGTGCTACAACATATAATTAAATGAAATGGTTTAAGTCTGATAATTATTTAATATATTTTCTGTTCATTGATTATTTTTATAGATACAATTAGAGAAGATATGATTGATCAAGAAAAATCATCAAAGATTGTGTGTTTATAAACAGTAATTAAGATTTTGCTAACCAGATGCTTCTCTGTAGCTGAATGGTACAGCACATTAGGTCAAATGACGGTTTCCGTATTGTCAATTCCTGTTAGAGAACACATTTTTGACAAGATTTCTCAAACATTCAGGCCAGTAAATGTAACTACTAATATTTTATTAAAAAACAGAGCATTTACTTAAATAAATTGTATCTATAAAAATAACATGAACAGAAAATATATCTATAAAAATAATGTAAAATAAAGAAATTATATTAAATAATTGTCAGACTTAATCCATTTTCTTATATATTCGTGAAATTTTTTTTCTTATTGACCAAAAATTTTTCGTTTTTCTTTACCTTTTTAGACAGCCTTTCCTGAAATATCCTCTTTCTGAAACCTTGGTGCGTTTGTCTGGCTCTATTTCACAACGGAGTAATATATATATAATATATATATATATATATATATATATATTGTCACTGTCAATATACCACATAACACCCTTCAGCACTTAGCCTTGAATATTAGAATGGAGATCAACATGTTTTATTGGACTCAGCAGTTTTCAATCTTTTGTTCAAATAATCTTCAAGAAGTGAGAGCAAGATCTAAAAATTCAGCCAATCTAACAGTTTCTCATCTCACAATCTCGGCTTTAAGACAAATTTGGCCTTCAATGTAAATCACTATTTTGGTCTAAAGTGCCACTTAAGATTATCACAACAAAATTTCATAACTTCAATTCAGCTGTTAGATCCTCATACAAAAACAGATTTAGAGTCCATTATCATATATATCAATTATATATATATAAATATTTTCAAAAAATATACATACATATGCAAAATATATATAAAAAACCCATATATGTATATTTTTCAGAAAAAATTTTCCAAGATAACCATAGATAGAAATTTTTGACGGAGTTTGACTTCACTAGATTTACTATTTCACATGTTCCAAGTGATGAAGGCTTGAAAGCCATAGCTGGGAATCTGTTTTCATTATGTGCTCAATTACTGGTACCTTGTACCAAACAATGTATCATAACAAGCAATGTCTCATAGAGAGGTCTTGAATGTTTTGACCTTCCAATGGTCAATGGTAAAGGGACTGAATTCAGTGTCTTTAGGTGAAAGTTCATTTTTCTGGCAGGAAGTGTTTCTGTTGCATTCTGGGAGAATTTTTCTTTTTCGTTTAATTTATTCTAAACAGCATTT